GTAGCGTTCCTTCTCGCATTTTAAAGACAAAAATTCCAACGCGAAGTTGGCCTGTGTTTTATCGCGCTGTGATGATCTACTAAATCGATCGATTCAATTTCTTATCGGTGAATTCTGTTCTGAATTCAGACAATACCGAGACACAACTGACAAGCAATTTTGTATTTTGAAATGGTGAAACTTGAATGGTTAATAGTCACTGTAGTTGAACTATAGATTTTTGAAATTGCATACAATTAGGTAGCTGAGCTCCGAAAAATTGGAATATTCATCGTTTATCTAGATTTATTATAAGCAAATCCTAATTATTATGCTCGTGACTGACATGAACATGGAAACGCGAACTTCCAAGCAGAGAAATCGAAATTTCATTTTCAAAGGTCGACGCACACCTTTCATGATATCACGCGAAACAATTGCGTTTCGAAAATTGCGCCCAATTTTGGATGGAACTGATCATTCAAAAAGTTTTTATACAGACGATTGACATTAAGAATTATGAAATAATTGTTCTGCCACTTTTTGTCCTTTCTTTTCTTTTCTTTTCATTTTATTCGATCATTGTTTTTTTCAAAACCTCTCCGACATTTCCTGCGTACGACATTTCGAAATTATGAAATTTTTGATACTGTCAAAATAACAAATATAATTTTATCTCCAATCTCACACAAAATTTAGATGTACAAAATAAACGTTCTTCAAACTAACGTGTATATACTTTAAAAAAAAAAAAAAAAAAAAATGAGCATGTGCGCTATCTTTAATTTTTCACGTTGCAGTTACGATAACGTAGAAGGTGTGAGCAATATATGAATACTATATGCAAAAGTTTATTCTAGCATATCGCATATATAGTTGAGCATATTCTCTGAATATATTGAAAGAAAAAAGTATTTAATTTTTGCCATAAATTATTTGATGTGTAACGTGTATTTTTCCAAGAGCGCACAAATATTAGCAATGAAATATCCACCTCTGACAGCTTCAATTTAATTTTAAATTTTAATATTGTCTTTTCCTAACATTTTCTCTGCTGCGTATATTCTTTTACAAATTGTGTTCAAAGTTAGTTTGTTTACGAAGATAATTTATTTTGTATATCCAAAATACGTGACGAGAATATTTTTATTGTTTTACACATTAACTTTAGCTTTACGAGTAATTTCTTTTAATTTAGCGCAAGAATTTAAAGCAGCACGTATTATTGTTCTGTCTCCTTTTAAACATTCGCATTACTTTCAGTAAATTGCAATATAATTTTACGACTTTCGTTCATTTCTTTTACGAATATGTTAATATCCAATAAAACGTACTTTTCTTAAAGCAAATATTACTACAATTTTCCTTTGATTTATTTATCTTGTCAGAGTCAGATAAATATAGTGAAATGTATATCAAAGAAATTTATATTATTTTTTAATAAGCGTGTAATAAAAAATTGTGAATGTACAACAATAATTTGCAAAATAAATATGTAATAAAAGTACAGTATAATTCAACTATGTAATAATAAAAATAATAATTATATATTACGTAATTATACAAGGAGTTTATGTAATAAAACAACGTAACTTGAGATCTTTAATATGCTAACCATTTAGTCCCTAGATACACCATATTTTGTTCGTTCATTTGAAAATTACCGAAGTTAATTTCAAACTAACTAGTCAATACTGCTCACGAATTTCATTATCAATAACAACACGAATAATTAAAGATACCACAAGCATAATGTTTATCTTTTTATCCAGAACTGTATCCAAAAAATTAAAAACATCCAATCAACTCGAATTCGTCGAACCAATTTCATCATACTCCTCTCACGGAGAACGAAAACTTTTTGAACAATCCGTTGTTGCGTGTAAACATCTGGATTAACGTTTCCCGTGTTTGTACTAAAAATCACCGAGCTTGTCTTCGAATATTTATGTCACACCGTGTATTTAGTGTATCATCGGAGAAACGTGTCTTCGTGAAAACGTTACATTTCCTCCGCGTGTGTATAAACACAGTGACGTCGTGGAAAAAAAAAACTTGGAGTCCCGAGGTCTAAGCCTTTCTGAAACTTTCCGAGTTTCCAACGAATAACTTTTCTTTCTTTGTTCTTTTTTCTTTTTTTTTTTCTTTTTTTTCATTTCAGCGACCAGACAAGTTCAATCTTTCCGTCCATCTGCGAATGTCAAAGAGCAAGGCGACTGACCAGCTTGGATACGCTTCGAAGCAGATTCTTTTCACCTCGATTCAAAGTTCGCGATCGAGGCATCCTTTGAAACCCTTTAGGCGACGTGGCACCGCTCTTTCAAGTCGTTCGTCGTAGCGAGGATCGAACTAACATTCTCGGTGAGGGGTAAACATTCACAGCAAGACGGCAACGCGCAAAAGAGGGGGAGATACAAAGTTTCGAAACGGCCGAGTGTTCGTGAAGTATCTTACAAACACGGCCGATGTTTGAACCCTGCTGCGTTCTGCATTTCTGGGCCGTGTTTCTCATTAAGAATTAAGAAAATCTCTCGCGAAATGAGGATGCTCGAAGAGGATGATGCGTGACCTTTTGTTTCCGGACACCCTCTCGAGATCTCTTTGTTCGATTGAAATTTGAAACGTTCGAAGACCGTAGCAGGGTCGAATGAAAAATGGCGTCAACATCGAATGAGAAGATGACATTCAACCCTCTACAACTGAGCCGAGTAACTTGAAAGTCCACATCGTACGTCCACATTGCGACGAATTTTATTCTGCTTTGCGTTTAATTTATTTCAATCACGCGAAAAGATTAAATAATAATAGAACTACATTTGTACGAACGTGCAACAGTTTTTCATTGTGGTAATAATAATAATAAGAGTTTACGATCGCAACATAATTCAAAATTTATGTAATTAAATTAAACTCCACGGTAAGAATCATAATAATAGTACAATTTGTATAATTAGAGTTTATAATAATAATCTCTTATCCGATGTTTCGTTCACGTTCATAAGAGTTTAAATTCAAATAAACAGTGTTAAATTTGGTTCAATTAACTGAATTTCATACAAACAAAGTTCTACTGCGAAGTTATAGCAATAATTAGTTAACAATCTTCCCTCTTGTGAACAAACTGTGCAGATGTTTACGTGATTTTATATTTTAACGAACGCGAACTTTCGATCAAATTGTTTCATCTGTTAAAATAGTACGAGAGTAAACGTCACTTTTGCACTGTGCGCATTCTCATCGTCTTCAGATTTCTCGCAGACGCGCGAAAATCGGCTGAAAATGTGAAAATCAAATTTCCGATTGCAGAGGGTTAATGTGGGTCATCGAGAGATCGAGGGGACCGTCGGGACTTGCCGCTTGTAATTCGAATCCTCGCGAGAACGACGACGACGACGACGGCGAGCCGTTGTCCAAAGATCGCGGCTGACATAATGCGAGCCTTGTAGGATCGTTCGAGCACACCGCTGAATAATATAATAATAAAAACGAGCTGACCGATACGACATCACGACGAATGTCAATCAAATAACACTGCAGTCCAACATCAAGTAACAATATCGAAATATGTAATATGTATATATATAATATATATAGATAATATATATATATATGTATATAAATATGACGTATGACGTCCAAGACCAGCGCATCGCAGAAACGATTACGGGTATCAAGGGTATATGGCATTCTCTGACGGGACGTAAGAACGAAGACAAGAAAGAAAGAAAGAAAAAAAAAAAGAAATAGAAAGAAAAAGAAAATAAAAAGAAAAGAGAGACGAAAGAAAACGAAGGGAAGGAAAGAAAGAGAACGAGAACGAGAACGAGAACGAGAAACGGGGGGGAGGGGGAGGGGGAGGGGGGGAGAAACAATTGCGGAACGAAAGTGTCGAAACGAAAAGGAGGAAGAACTGTTGGGAGGACCGATCATATATTGACGAGCAAAAAGGTTCAATCTGGCGATCGTGCTCGTTGCTTGTTGCGTGGCACCTTAAAACCGTCATAGGTCCAGGAGCCTAACTTCAAAACACAGGTCTGTACGTCGTACGGAAAGAACTCAACGTCGATGGAGCAGGAGGATTTATATACGGCCGGCGGTTGCCAGACGACCATTCCCGAATAGTAGACCGTGGCCTTGGTCATCAGCGTCACCTCGTAGTTCCCGTCGGCGCTGGAATCACCGAAGAAACGAGCCGAGCGTGATCACGATTGGCTCCTCTTTGAAGAGCACCGGATGCTGCCGCTACGCGACGCTATCTCTCTCATTTTCTCTTTCATTCTTTCTCTCTCCCTCATTCATTTTTTTCTCACTCTCACCCCTTTCAACCGAATCAAGCCGAAAAAGTCGCATCAATCGCTCGGATCGCGTAATTTCGCGTCCTCGCTTACTTATCCTTTGTTTCCCTCTCGTCACCACTGTGTTTTCTTCCCTCCCTCCTTCCTGATTCTCATTCTCTCGTGATTCTCTCTCTCTCTCTCTCTCATTCTCTCTCTTTCTTTCGTAACGTCACTCTCATCGTCGCTTGTTACCGCACGTAGTGTTTCTTTTCTATCATACTACGCGTTTTCAGGAGACGCGGTCTCGCAGAGAAGCTGGCAGCATCCGTCTCCTAGCGTGGGTTTCGGCTCTCGCTCATTTCGAGCGGCGACGTTTCTCTTTTCTTTTCTTTTCTTTTCTTTCTTTCTCTCTCTCTCTCTCTCTCTCTCTTTCTCTTTCTCTATTTCTCTATCTCTCTTTTTCTTTGGAAAACGCTCAATGGAAATGCGTCATTCAACCGAAAAAAAAAGAAGAAACGGACGCGTCCGCGGTCCGTCGTTGAGAAATCCACGCGACGAGCCGATCGTTCGGTTCTAATCTAATGAGTCTTAAGGGCTACAGGGGGTGGGGGGCGTGGGGGGTTGGTTGGGGGAGGGGGACCATCCACGACGCATCACGAAACATCGTCGATCCACGTCGCGGACGATCCACCCTCCCTCCCGCGTCTATCTGCCACGAACTTAGCGGCTACCATGCAAGTTTACCTTAAAGCCGTCATAGGTCCACGAACCGAACTTGAGGACGCAGGTCTGCTCGTCGAATGGGAAGTACTCCACGTCGATCTCGCAGGATGACTTATAAATGGCCGGGGGCTTCCACTCGACCAATCCTTGATGGTAGATGGTGGCCTTCGTGGCCAAGGTCACCTCGAAGTTGCCGTCCGCGCTGCGAGCGAGCACATTAGTGGTTCTGGGCGCTGCGGCGGTCGAGCTTACTTTGTACTTCCGATTCGATACCAAGCCGTCTTTTTTTTTTTAATTTTTTTAAATTTTTAATTTTTTTTTGTTTAACTTTTCTTTCTCTCTCTCTCACTCTCTCTCTCTCTCTCTCGTTCTCTCTCTCTCTCTCTCTCTCTCTCTTCCACTGTTTACTTTATTTTTTCTTTCGCTTTTTTTACCGTTTGTTTTTTTTTTTTTTCGTTTCACTCCGTTTTACTCTTGCGTGTGTCGTTTTACCCTGGCTACCCACGACGTCGTGGAAGATGACCCCCTTTGCGTTCGTTTCCTTTCATTTTTTTTTTTTTTTTTTTTTTTTTGGGGGGGGGGGCAATTTAAAAATATTATATATAATTAATATAATACATTAATATAATTATATATATATTAATATAATTNTTTGGGGGGGGGGGGTTTCTTTTCTTTTTGCGACAGAACGCGCACGTGTCCGTTGCACGCGAGACGCGACGATCTTTCGGCAAGTCCGGCGAGAAACGAGAGCGAAACTTGCACGGGGGAATCCGTTTCGTATACGCGCGATGAACGCGAAGCTTTCGAGCGGTTTCGAGGTTCCATCGCGAGCAAATAACAAGCGTGGCGCTTTCAACATCGCTCACAGAGAGCCGTCGGTCGAAAACAAACTATCTGAGTGTCGCTGTTGCAGAATTTTCGAGTGTTTACTTTCTCTCTCTCTCTCACACACACACACATACACACACACATATACTCATTCATTCTCTTTCTCTTTCACTTTTGTTTTTCCGTCGCATCGATATAAAGGAGCCCCGTGGCTTTTAGCCTGTTTCCGACTCTTTAAACACGGAGCAACGAGTTCTCTCTCTCTCTCTCTCTCTCTCTCTCTCTCTCTGTGCCAATAAAGATATTTCACACTACGAGCGTCAAAAACGTAAGTACAGAGAGCGGGCAAAGGTGTTCGCGCGCTCGATGAAAGATTATCGATACCTCGAACCGTTTAAGTTTCGTGAAACAAAATCGTGAAACAACGAGATCCATTTGGCATCGTTTTAAATAATGAAACCTCTACTTTACCAATCTCGAGTTCTTTTTTTTTTCATCAGAGATGTCTTTCGAAGAAAGGCTGCCTTTGTTGTCGAAAATTGTAAGAATTTGAACGCCTCCAAAATCAGTGAAAAACTTACTCGCGGGAATTGAAGTCTTCTTTCTCTCTTAAAACTTGCTACTATTTTTTTTTTATCCTTCTTTTCTTTTTTTTTTTTTTGCTATTTTATTGAACCTTGAATGTCAGAGTCAAACGACAAAAATTCGAGAAAATTCAATATTTTGTCATTTCACTCCAACGAAAGTTCAAAATTCAATGAAATAACGAAAAGAAATCGTGTTCAGCGAGTTTTAAGATCATTGTGATCTTCAAGAGCGATGGTAGAGTCATGAAAGAGATTTCTTGATGTCTCTCCGAGAGACATTTGAATTTCTACAATTTTCGAGGACAAGAGTATCCCTTTTGCGTAACGTAAAAAAACAAAAGAAATTAATATCGGATAAATGAAAGCTTGACACTTGGAAATGAGGCCAACTAAATTGTTTTACGACATCGTTTTTGTAAAGTTACGGTTAAAATACAGACAATTTTTCATCGAATGCGTGAATATTTTTGTCAGTCTGTGTACGCATTTTTGCTACATGTAGAATCGAATATAATTTTTAAGTTTACGACAGTTGTTAGAGCCCTTTGGTTGACGAGTGAATCAAGTTCCTTTTTTTAACTCGGCTGCGTCCCTCGGGACATTTCAGTCCTCGTGGATCGACTATAATCTGACTTTTCTAATTTTTTCGAACGTACAGAGTGAATCGTAAGTTGTGAATTAGGATTCTACGTGAAAGAAACAAACAAAAAGTTTCGTTTTCAAACAGAGTCGAGTTTGAAAATTCGCGAGATTTCTGTGTGACCGACAAATGAAACTTAGGGAACTCGGAAATTCAAAAAAAAATTATGACACTTCGTATACGAGGAACGTAACCGAGTCAATTTTGTGACTTTCGTGAGGTATTTCAAGAGGAGAATGTAGCTTTACTGCGAAGCAAACAAACTGAAAGAAGAGTAATTGTTAAATTGCGGATTTTTATGCATTTGTAAGGAACGCACAAAAAATGTGAAAAAAATATATCAAATATCCAAAGCATAGTGCTTCTTACATCTGGAATGTAAAACAATTTTGACGTTTTATATTTTTATATTGTTTATTATTTCTGTTTATGATTTTTCAGCCCGTAGTTCCCTTTTAGTCGCCTTTTACGACACGCAGGGAATACGTTGGGTTTATTCTTTTCCCACACCCACAGGGAATCAATTTTGATGCATTATTTCTTTACTTATAATCCGCAGTTTAGTAATGATAACACGAGTCAAAAAAAGGGTGAGTGAATAAAGAATCAAGTGTCATTATTCACTCACAATGTAAGAACTGACTCTTATCTTTTATCATTGTGAAACAAAATGAAACACTGAGTATTCTCAGTGCTCATTTCTTTTTCTAATTTTGGACTTACTCCATTCGTCAATTGAGGGGCTCGTTTGTTTGATCTTGATTTTATTTTTTCATTGGTCTCGAAAGAAATTGGAGATTTTAATAGGTGTGACACGCTCGAGAGCGACGACGAAAGAGTAAGGACAGATCGACATTTGGACAAGACGAAAAAACATATCATAAATCGATTCATACTCCAAGTACTTTCATTTAACGAGTTTTTACGAGTTCAATTCTGGCAAGGACAAAGCTCAAAGTTTAGCGGATACGTACTGCGAGTTTCGTTTATACGTTGCAAAAGGGCTCTTATTTCGATCGTACAGTACAATAAGTATAAATATAAAAAAACGAAACAAGAAACAAAGAGAAAGCAAACGAGTAACAGGACAATTTCTAACAGATCGCTGGAAAATGAAAACTATTTACAGAGAATTGTCGAAAACGTGAATAAACATGAGAAATTGAGATTAGAACACAAACTGTGGTGTATTATTACATTATACAAAGTGTGTATTGCGTATTTTTAGTTGTAACAGAATATCGTGAGTAGTATTCACGTTATATTCAAATTTGACTTGATGTAAGAAACGTGTAGTATGTTTATTATATCTTGAATTGAAAATGTTCCTAATAAAACTAAAGTGAATTTGAGCCTACTAAAAAAAAAAAAAAAAAAAAAAACACTCATAATTTTCAATTATGTAATATGTTAGCATTTCGTATTTAATAGTAATTGTTGTAATATTATAATATATGTATCTTTGAGAAATTTTTCCAATCGTGATATCGTTAAATATATGTTAAGGATTGAAGAAATTTTATGAAAATAAGATTCAGAAACTGGAAATTCGTGAACGCAATTCACAATGAAAAAAATTCGTAACAATTTAACAGCCTAGCGAATACATTCTATGTACTTACTTACTCATCTTTTAACTTCAACTATACAATTAAAGCATCTGTATTTAATCGATTTGGAATTTTTAGATTCTTTTCAAATCAATAACACACTGTTTCGAATAGTTTTTGTCATTGTAAATAGACAGAGATTGCTGCGAAATAATTTAATATATCGATGTAATTTTTACTTCACGTAATATTAAGTAAAACAAGTATCCTCAAGAATATTTTTACGTTTTCTCAAATTCTCGTGACTTTGCACTAAGAAACTATTAAAAATGATACAAACTAATAATTTGGAGAGAAAAATTACGGGAGAAAAATTAAAAGAAAAGAATACCTAAGCTAAACTAGTTTCATAACGGAAAAATAACTTTAGAATATCAGATTATTCCCTAAATAACGCAATCTGTAACCTTTGTAAATTCAGATAAAAATAAACGACAGCCTATCAACAATCGATCAGCAATGAATTTTCCCCACTGTTTTTGCATCGTTCCCAATCTCAATCTTTTGAAAAACTCCGACAAATCCTAGCCGATAGCTTTTTCGAAGAAAAAAAACCACGTCAAACAATCGTGAAACAATTCGATATTTCAGCTGAAATTTCGAAACGTTTCTATTCCTATTGACCTGAGTTTCACAGAGAACGACATCGCTCCGATCGAAAATATTGTATTCTCCAAGGGAGAGACGCGTCAGGGAAATATTTCGTCGCTTGCTTCGATCGATTCATACGTTTCTGAAAAGTCTCGTCACTGTCCTCGACGATTTGTCCAACCTTTTCGCGAGATGTTCCAAATGCGAAAAGTGATTCGCGGTGCGAGCCTTCAGGGCATGCATGCCTATTAACAATCTAGCCCGAACTGCCTCTCGCAGTTTACCTACCGGCTCTACCGTACACTCCGTTTCATTGAATATTTCAGTGCACAAGCAAACACCGATGCATATGTGCACATGCATCACGAAAACAAACGGGACAAACGTATCGATTCGCGTGAAAATTTAGATCGGCTCTTTGTCTCTGTTTCTTTCTCGCTGTTGCGGCAACAGGCAGAAAGTGAACGTCGACGTGTGTCAAAGAGTTTGAAGAAAAAAGGAAAGAAAGAAAAAAAATAAAAGATTGGACGTGAACGTAGAAAGTGTTTGCAGTGCGTGTAGAAAGTATTTGTACCCTTGACGATGATTTAAATCGGACCGCGTCTGTGAGGAATCACGAATATTTGTAAGATGCGTGTAAAATCTATGAAATAATGTTGAATATACTTGTTACGACATTTAGCAGCGACGACTTTTCTGCTTGGACCAGCAATGTCCTTAACGCTAGATCTGGCGATGATCGAGGAGGAATGAAAATGAAAGAAAGAAGATAAAATTTACTTTTTAAAAATTATTCAAATCTCTGAGAATACGCTATTGCAAGTATATAAAATTTCTATGAAAAATTCTAAAATGGTCGTTTTGACCATTTTGATAGTTTTAATCGTGTCTGCAAACATTTGAAGATCCACGGTCTACTTATAATTTTCTAGGAAACAAGATC